CCCAGCTCCCCCACCCACCCACCCTGGGCACCCACGGTTACTGTGGGTCCTCTGTCCCACGGGGTGTGGGATGAAGGGCTGGGGGGCGCAGGGAATGGACCTCACTGCTTCTGCCAGGACTGCCCTCCACTCCACCCAGCCAGACCCCTGATGGGGCTTGGGGAACGCAGGGGTCTAAAGATTTGACACCACCTTCTCAAGGGCCCCCTTGAGCCCCTCCATGTGACCCCAACCTGGCTTCTTCTCCAACCAAATCTCCCACAAGTCCCACAGGCATCCACTGTCCTTTGGGCCAAGCCCCTGCCCCCCAGCTCCTCACAGCTGGCCCTGCCACCCCCCACTCCCAAAATAAAGTTCCAGTTTTTATTCTATGTGAGGCTGGAGGTCAAAAGACGATACTTTCTTAAAGAATATCGTTTAATACATTTCAGACATCATCCATACAAAGTTAGCGTTACTTTAAAAAAAATTAGGACCATAATATAAACTGGTAAAAAAAAAAAAAAAAAAGGTCTAATTGACCTTGGGCAACTAAAAGGCCTGGACAGGCAGGGAAGGCAGCCCTCAGTTCAGGCACTTGGGCAACTAGTTGTGTTTTCTGGTGGTTTTGAGGGTGGCATCCTTTTCTCATTCCTCCCCTGCACTTAAGATAGGCTCTGCACACCTGGCACGGAGCACATTTTGCCTAATCATATTTACTTTTCCAACCATAATCTGTCACTAGCAGGTTCCCCAGGGGACAGAGGCTGAGATGGAGAATTGTGTGCAGGAGTTTCACTGGGCGAGCTCCCGGGAGCGTATAAACCTCTGGAAAACAGAAATTGTATTGAACGTGTGGCAATGTGCTAGATACAGAGACTAGGAGCCTATCAACTAGGTGGCGATTCTGTTGAGGAGGATAACACTTAGCTCATTGATTTGCTGTGGATTTATTTTGAAACCTCCTTTGCATAGATAGGCTGACATCACTGCAGGGCTGAATGTGGTCCTGTCCTTATTTAGGTCCTTGGGGTGGCCCTGCCCTCGCCTGGGCAGGAGTGAGGCAGAGGATGGTGGGCTGGCTGGCGTCAGTCCAGCCCCAGGAGGCAGAACACTGACTTGAAGGAAGGGACTGGGCTGGGAGGGGCTGGGGGGCCTGGGTGCGGGACGGGTTCAGCCTCTGTTTGCTGAGATCAGCAGAGGGTCTCGGATGGCCAGTCTGTGTCTCTTTGCTTCTTCTCTGCCCCAGACCACTGCCAAACCCTGTCCCAGAAGGTTTGGACCCGGAGCGTTATGGGCAGGCTCACCAGGCCACGGATGAGTGCAGGGCGTGGATTCACAGGGCAGAGACGGGAGGGGAAACAGGAAGGGGCCATGGCCAGGCAGGGCTGGGAACCTGGTGGGAACCCCAGCCAGGTCCCCAGGAAGGGCAGGCTCACAGCAACGGGGAGGGGGAACGTACCAGCAGAGCCAGAGGTGGGAGATGGGCAGCAGCCCAGGACCTTGGGAAGAAAGGAGCCCACCCCCCAGGAAGTGGTGCTGACAGCAGGGGAGCAGGGTAATGTCAGGGCCTGGGCCCTGAGCTGCAGAGAAACACATGTTCTGAGTGTCCCCCAGCCCGGGCCTGGGGAAGGGGGGCCTCAGTCCCCCAAGGAGCCGCCCTTGATGACCGTCTCCAACAGACTCAGCCTCTCCTGGGGGCAGAGCTCCTGGGAGCAGGGCCGGCCCCACAGGGTCTCTGGAGCGGGGGTGGGCGCTGTACAGGCAAGCAGCCTGGCCCAGGCACAGTCTCTGCGTCCTCAGCGCTGCGTGGGAGCGGCCGCGACGGCCCCGCCAGGCAGGTGGTCAGTGCAGCACCTGGTCCAGCTCGTACTTCTCGCAGAAGTGGCTGGTGAAGGGGAAGCAGGTGAGGTACTCGATCCAGGGCCAGTGGATGGGGTAGACGTAGAGCCAGATGACCAGCGAGGCGAGGAGGCCGGCGAAGACCAGCAGTGACACGAGGATGAGGGCGCGCTTGCGGTACTTGTCGCTCGTGCCGAAGGTGATGTAGGGCAGGAAGGCGAAGGCCAGCAGCAGGCCGCTGAGGAAGCCAAAGATGTGGGCGATATTGTCGATCCAGGGCAGGAGGCCGCAGATGAACAGGAAGAGCACGATGGCCGACAGGTTCAGGAAGGCCTTCCAGGGCCGCTCCAGCAGCTGCCAGCTCTGGAAGAGCTCCACGAAGAGGCAGGCCAGGAGGCCGAACTGCGACCCTGCCGGGCCCACCTGGGGTGAGTGGATCGGGAGGGGACAGGGTCACTTCCAGGTACCAGGTGGGAGCCTGTGGGGAGGCCTGGGCACAGCCGGGCTGGAGCCCCAGGACCTGGGTCATCCTCTCCGTGAGCCCCTCCCAGGGTGGGGACCCCGAACCTGGCGGCCGCGGAGCAGGAGAGGGGCAGCTGGAGCTGCTGGAACAAAGCTGGACTCGTTCCACCCACCCTTTCTGCAACACTGAGCACCTACTACGCGCACGCCCAGTGCCATAAGCAGGACAGACCGCTCCAGGCAGCGCACGTGGGGAGGGACAGACACTGAACAAGCCCACGGCGTGAGGCTGAACTGATCAAAAAACTGCCGTTTCTTTGGGTCAAGAACGGTTGCACGAGGGCAACTTCATACGGCCCAACTCACAGCTATGGGACGCGCTGGCAGGCGGTGGTCATGGTCGAGGAGAGAAATGAAGCAGAGAAGAGGCAGAGTGAGGGACGGGGTCAGGTCTTTCTGGAGGTGACCGCGACACGTGACCCAGGGGCATCACTGCTCCCTCGCGCCTTGGAATGGACTAAGGAATTGGCCGGGAAGCCCCCAGCTTAGCTGTCATTCCGCTGTCGAGCCTGACGTGGCAGGGGCTGTGCGTCCCTCAGGCCAAGCCAGGGGGGAGGCGTGAAAGCAGTAGAGCTAGACGTCCCTGCCGCATCCCGAGTCCCTACCTCCGCGCGGTACGGGAGGAAGATGGCACTGGCAAGGTTGCCGGTGATGCCGCTGAGAATGAAGATGATGGCGATGCGGTGCCAGCCGGCCAGCTTCTCCAGGTCCCGTAGGATGGTCATTTGGAAGATCACAGACACGAGGCAGTGCACCACGCTGGGCGGGGACACACCGGGCATCAGCCCCCCGCCCCGTCTGCCAGCCAGCTACTTTGGGAACAGTGGGGTCTGGCAGGTTGTGCGGCTGTGCCCTGGCCCAGGGGCCCCTCCCCCGGGAGCCCAGGTAGGCGGGCACCACAGGGGCCTGGGGGCTGGGCAGCGAGGCACCTCTTACCCGGCGTGGAGGAACAGGGACAGCCAGAGCCTGTAGAATTGATCTGGGACCTCAGGATTGAGGAAGGGCAGCAGCCCACACACCTTGTCCAAGCAGTGCACCTGCGGGCGAGAGCGTGGCAGTGTCTAGGATCCCGCTGGGTCCGAGGCCCTGATGTAGGGGGCAGGACCAGATACCCGCTGCAGGAGAGCATGCAGGCTGCTGCACGTGGCTGCTCGTGCCCAGGGCCCCACCAGACCCCACCTCACCTGGGAGCAGAGCGTGGCCTCTTCGTGGAAATAGCCGTGCACGAACTCACAGTATTCCCGAGTGGTGATCTCACAGCTGGGGGACAGGGAGGCAAGGCGACCACCAGGGGCCTGAGTCCTGCCCGACCCCGCCTAGTGCCCAGTGCCCGGCCGCAGCAGGCACCACTGGCAGGACGCGGTGCCCCTCTGCAGGAACCTGCCCACACCACGGACGGCCCCCAAGTGGGGAGGGAGGACGCCAGCTGGGTGGGAGAGGGGGAGCACAGGGGCTCCGGGCAGAGGGCCCAGGCCAGCTCACCTGCCCTTGGTGCCGATGCAGCAGGGGCGGCCCCGGATCTGGCAGTCCATGTGTGGGAAGCCCGAGCGGTTACTCCTGGTCTGCTCCGTGCAGATCTGCCAGGAGGGGCACAGACAGCGGCTAGGGCTGTGCAGCAGCACGCAGGCCCTCCCCACCCTTCCCGGACCACTCTGCCCCCTGGACACTCACCGGCCACTTGGTGATGTCATCAGGCCAGATGTGGGCACCACTGGAGGCCGGCTCCTCGCAGGTTCTGGAAGCAGATGTCGGAGGGGGCAAAATGAGGGGCCACGGCATCCCCAGCCTGCCACGCCCACTGGCCAACATCCCCATGGGTGGCACAGACCACATGATGCTCAGCCCCATCTCCTCAGCTCAGTTGTGGGCCTCCCGGGACTGTACCTGGGGTCCTGGTTGCACACGGCCCCCGATGTCCGCTTTTGGCCCAGCGCAGACTTGTCCATGGGGGGCCCCGTATCATCCTGCCACTTGACAAAAGTGGCCAAAGTCTCCTGGAGGATGGAGGCAGGCTGGTCATGGCTAGGACAAGGTCACCACCATCAGAGTGGGCAAGGGCCCCTCCAGGGCAGGGGCTCTTGCCCTGCTGTCCAGGGCTCAGGCTCATCTCCCAGACCCCCACCCCCACTGACACTCCCAAGACCCAGCTTTCACTGCTCTGGGGCTAGGGAGGTTCGCACCCTCCCTGTGCTGAGCTGCGTGCAGGGGTGTGTGATGCCAGGGAGGGCAGAGGAAGGACAGAGGCAACGTAGACACCGCCCTTGAAGGGCCCCTCCCCCAGGCTGGGGCAAGTGGAGATGGTGCAGGGGACCAGGGTGGGGCTCGCAGGAGTCGGAGGGCCTCTGCCCCCACCGAGCAGTCCTGCTGCAGCGTCTGGATGCAGCCCGAGTGGTCATTCTGGACACAGCAGCCCGAGTCCCGCTCCAGGTCTCGCTCCCGCAGCACCAGCTGCTCGATCTGCTGGTCCTTCCGGATGCAGGGCGAAAACTTGGCTCCCAGGTGGATCAGGTCAATCTGGGGGCGGAGGGCAGGGGGGAGTGAGCTCGGGTCCAGACCTGGCTGCTCTGTTGAGAGTCTCCTCCTAGGGGCCCCTGATGAGGGGGGCTTCCAGGCGAGCCAACCGCCTTCCTGGCCAGCTGGGGGTGGCAGAGGCCAGAGGCTCCCTGCTGAGATGCTGTCCGTGCTGGGCCCCTTACCGAGCTGGGGCCAATCCAGAAGTTCTCCTGCTGGATGTACTTCATGCTCTCATACACACCTCTGTTCCTGAGGACCTGGTGCAGAGGTGCAAGGATAGGGGAGTCAGGGGCTTCTCTGTCCCAGGGAAGGGCCTCTGGGGAAGGCGCTGAGAAGCAAAGCAGTGGTGAGCCCTGAGCACCCTCCAGGTTGTTGCCGTGGGAGGGACTGGGGGGCCCAAGACGCTGGCGCCTCTTGGGGGAGGCTAGGAGCCCCCCTCCCCTAGCCCCACTCACCAGCTGGGTGGTGATGTGCTGGGCAAAGCCCACAGGCGCGATGCCATACGTGCAAATCACCAGCAGCGTGATGATGACGTGGACGAAGGTCAGCCAGTAGGTGAAGTAGGGCCTGCGGGCAGAGGCCTCGGGTCAGCGGAGCCAAAGTCACATCCCGACCCTCAGCCCCGCGGCCCCCAGCCGCCAGCAGCTCGCACCTGCTCCCTACCCTCCACTACTCCCCTCTAACTCATTCTTCTCCACAGCAACTCTTACAATGCACCTCTCTGCGCCTCTCCCAGCTTAAATCCTTTCCATGGCTTCTCGCTGCCCTGGGGATAAAGTCTAACATGGCTCCCTCCCCGCTGGTTGCAAGGCCTTGCTACGCCTGCCCACCTCCCTGGCCTCCTTCCCCTCCTTCTCCTGCAGCTCCTGGAACAAACCCCAATCCCTGCAGCCCCAGGGCCTTTGCACATGATGCTTCCTTTGCCTGGGATGCCCTTGCCGTCTCTCTTCACCCAGCTATCTGCTGCTGCTCCTGACGATGCTCCCCGCCACCAGCTGTTCACTCCCACTCTCTGTCCTCCTTCTCCAGGACACTCACCACACCTGCTATCACTTAATTTTTTTTAACTCAGGGTCCAATGTCTATCAGGTTGCTGCTAATTGTACATTCTTTGAGAATGGCCTCTTCCCAATCCTCTGTCTTCCCCCAAGGTCTCTGTGCAGGCCTCTCCACAGTCCCTTCACTTGTGGTCACAGCTTCTAACTGCCCCTCTGACCTACCCCGCCCGCCCTGCTCCGCTGTTCCAGGGCCTGTGTGGTAGTGCTCAGTGAACACTCGTTGCCGGGCTGCCGTCTGGGTGCCCAGCAGAGGAAGCAGGCCCAGAAAGCGGGGAGCGTGGAGAAGAGGCAGCAACACCCGACAACCCTTCCCAGGTGACATGCATGCTTGTAGGGTGACCCTAGGGACCGTCCCTGCTCCCCTGACCCACAGGAGGTGCTCACCAAAGGCTCGATGAACAATAAGGGGAGCTTCGGGAGGGGGCCCAGGGGAACCTGGAAGCTCCCAGCCCTTCTCCCCTGGGCCTACGCCTGGGAGTGGCTCTCCCCGCACTGTCACAGAGTGGGTGGGGCCCCAGGCCGGCGTGGCTCACCGGTGGCTGTCGAAGCTCTCCAGCTGGCGCTGCACGGTGCTACTGATGCTGCGGCGGTAGCTGCGGTTC